AAACCCTAAACCCTAAACCCTAAACCCTAAATTTGGGAGACTTGAGATTTCGTAGAGTTAAGAGCTTAGAGTGTCAAGGCGGCAGCTGCTGCGGCAGTGCAGCAGCAGGGGCGAACGAGGTGTACGTACACCGCGAAGCGCGGTTTGAAATTTGGAGACTGGAGAGTATAGAGGAAACTGAAGGGTTTAGGGTTTAGGGTTTAGGAGGAGAAGAGTTATGTTTCTCCGTGGTGGTCTAGCCCTGACGCGGCGGACTGGGCTGTGCGTGTGTCGGGCGGCTGGCGCGGAGGCGGGGTTTGGGTGTCTTTGGGTGTTTTCTACGATTTAAAAGAATTAAAATTGCAACAAATTGCAAAATAGAGTTTTATGAATTCCTTTTAAACCCTAAAAAGAGGCTAAATGCGGCGAAGACAGAACTGCTGCGGCGCGCGGCCGTCGGCGGCGGCGGCGGCGAGCCAGTGGACCTGCGGGGAAAAGGCGGTTAGGGGTTTTTCGGCGAGCTTTTTGGAAAGAAATATAAAATGAAATTGCTTTCAAAAGGCGGAAAAGATTTAAATGCGGGCAAAGAGGGAAGACGGAGGCGCCAGGAGAGTGGCACTCGGACCGCCAGCTGTACGTACAGCCGAGCGCCAAGCCCTCTTCTCGCAGGCCGCGGCGCGGGCGGGCGAGAGCGTCAGAAGTGACAGTGTCCAGTTTTTTTTGGAGATTTTTGTTTTTCATTTATTAGAGTTTGACTCTTGTCTTCAGAAGTTCTTCTGAAGAGGCTTTCGCCAGGAAAGCCGTCGCCGACAGCCCAGCCAGCGGCCTCGCGTCTGCCTGCTTGCTGCGCGCCAATCGCAACACCTTGCGAGGAAAGCTGCTTCTTTTTCTTCTTTTTGCATCCAAAATGATCCAATTCGTTTGCATTTAGGATTTAATTTGCGTTTTCCGTTTGCTGCTCCCCGGATTCCGGAAAATTGGGTGTCCGTACAGTCGCCTGACGTACGCGGCTGCTGCTGCATCGACTCTCCTGCTGCTGCTGCTGCTGCTGCGCGCTGCGCCGCCCCTGCTGCTGCAGCAGCAAAGCTTTCTTGCTGCAAACTCTTTTGTCTTTATGAAGCTTCGATTCTGAAAGTTAGCTCCGCTCTCCAACCATGGGGGTTTTCTCCCGCCTGCTGTCGGCCGCGCTGCTGTGCGCCGCCGCCAGCCCAGCTCTCCTCAGCCCCCAAGCAGCAGCAGCAGCAGCAGCACCAGCAGAGGGCTCCACCAGCTTCACCCTGCCCTCGGGCGGCTCTCTGCACGTCCAGGTCCTCAGAGGGCCGCAGCAGCAGCAGCAGCAGCAGCAGCAGGGCCCCTGGGGCTCCACCATGAGCTTCGCGGGCCCCACAGGGGCCACGGGGGGCTACTCGGTGACTGATTCTGCTACGCTGCGCAGCAGCGCGGGCCCCCCTGCTGCTGCTGCTGCTGCAGCAGCAGCAGAAGGCGTCTACGAGCTGCCAACTCCCCCCACTCCCGAAAACCCCATTTCAAAAACCCAAGTCCTTTTTGGCTGGGTCCCAGAAGCAGCAGCAGCAGCAAGTCTGCAGGCCGTCAACGCTGAAGAGCTCAACAACGCCCTCCGCAGCCAAGCCTTCGTCAGAAAACTCAGAAGTCAGCTTTGCTGCTGCTGCTGCTGCTGTGCTGCTGCTGCTGCTGCTGCTGCTGCCGTTATTGTTGCTGCTGTTGTGTAGTCGCTGCTGCTTCCGTTGCCGTTTTCGCCGCTGGCGTGGTGACACGCAGCGCCGCTCGCAGACCTAGAAGCAGCAGCAGCAGCAGCTGCTGCTGCTGCTGCTGCTGCTGCAGCAGCATGTGGAATTGGGCTGCTGCTGCTGGCGCTGCGGTGTGCGCAGCGCGAGCGCTGGTGGAGAAGTCGTGCATGATTCCCTTGGCGAGCGACCGGCGGAGCTACTTGGAAGCATTTTGGTCTGCTGCAGCAGCAGAAAGGAAGTTTCGAGCAGAAGCAGAAAGCCAAAGAGCAGCAATTGAAGAAGAGCTGAAGCAGCAGCAAATGGCTGCGCCAGACATGAGCTACGCGCGCTCGGTGGCGACGCGGGCGAACATCGAGAGCGGGGCGTCGCCTGCTGCTGCTGCTGCTGCTGCAGCAGGCGCTGCAGCAGCCGCAGCAGCGGGCGAGGAAGCAGCAGCAGCAGCACTCAGGTACCAGGAAACTGTCGACAGAGTCCTCGCCAATCGCATTGAAGTCCTCATGACTTGCAAACTTGCTGCTCTCTTGGGGCAGCCGGGAATTTTCTTGAATGACAAAATAGCAGCAGCAGAAGTTCTCGACCTTGTTGCAACAGCTCTTGGAATTGGAAACACCAAAGAGGAAGCAGCAGCAGCAGCAGCTTCGCCAATCGTCCCCATGTTCGGGGGCCTCGAGCCCTTCCTGCTCGCCTCAAACCCCCTCAGTAAGCTCCACCCTGCTGCTGCTGCTGCTGCTGTTTTCGTTCTTGTTCCTCCTGCTGCTGCTGCTGTCGTTGCTGCTGCTGCTGTTGGTGTGCAGCAGGATCCCAAGTTACGTCGTCGTTCTTGCGAATTGTCCGCTGCTGCTGCTGCTGCTGCTGCTGCTGCTGCAGTTGTGGGTCACGTGCTGACGCTGCTGATAGCGCACATCGACCGGGAGGCGTTCTTCGGGGAGGCGGCGCGGAAGGCGTTTTACAGCTTCACAAGTTTGGCTGCTGCTGCTGGAGGCGAAGGGGCCGTGGGGATGCTGGACGAGATGTGCGACAGAGACAGAGGCCCGCGGCTTGCTGCGCCGCTGCTGGGCAAGTACAGGCCCAAGGGGCGGGGTGGGAAGCCGCGGAAGCGCGGCAGCAGCAGCCCCTGGTTCGTCCGCGGCGCCTCCAGAGTCCACAGAAACAAGCTGCAGCCCGAGCTCCTCAGGGCCTACTGCGACGCCACGGAGATGATTCTCAACGCCCTCATGCTCAGTGAGCTGCTGCTGCTGCTCCTGCTGCTGCTGCTGCTGCTGCTGCTGCGCGGGGGTGCAGCGACGGCGTCGGAGTGGAAAGCTGCGCGATTATCCGGGTATCTGGAGCGGTGTTGCCGCTTCGTTGCTGCGGTAGCGAAAATAAATGTGTTTAATGCAAATTGAACCGCGGATTCCACTTTTTGACCGCAGAACAAGAAGACGTGCAACAGGAAATGCTCAAGTTCTCACTGCCGGTGGAGCCGCTGGTGGATCCGGCCACAAATGCTTCGCGAATTCAAACCAAAACCTGCAGAGGAGGAGCTCCAGTTTGCGAATTCGAAAATTCCATTTTAAGTCCAATTGCAAATCCCCTGGATCCCCAGGTGCTGGAACAGAACACCAACACCCGGGCCGCCTTCAACCTCTACGCCGGGCTAGGTAGGCCAAGCCTGCTCGTTTAACTTTTATTCAAATAGAACTTCAATTTAATTAAGTCTTCTTAAGATTATTTTGACTTATTTTCTCAAACTACTCACCTAGAGATCCTGCAGGTGGTGTCAGTGCCGCGGAGTTCAACTTCAGCAACTGTTCCGGAAAGCTGAATTTCGGGCGTTGTTGAATTCCGTTTTTGCAAAGATTGAAAAATTAGCCGGACTGCCTTCGACTTATCCTTCCCTTGTCTCATTGATTTAATTTATTGATTTAACTTTTTTAATTTATTTAATTTATTTTGTTTTTGCTGCTTTCCGACGCTTTTGTCTTCACAGCCAGCGCGCAACTCGGAAACCTGCTCGAAGAAACCGGCTCCAAGTACTACGACGTCCGCGCTGACCAGTGGCTCGAAATAATTTCCAAGCCGACGGCGCACAGCGACAGTGAGTTTGCTTTTTAAAAAAGAAGTGAAAAAGTGGCAGCAACTAGCAGTACTTCAACGCAGGATCGTGCAAGAAATGCTAAGAAATGGCAACAAACAGCACTTTCAACGCAGGATCATGCAAAAGAGAAAAGCACTAGACCTCTGTGAATTAAAATAAAACGAAATAAGAAAAAATGGAACAAAAAGGACTTAAAAATAAGTCAAAATGGAAATTTTGTGCAGAATATGGATAGTGATCTTCGCATTTGCAATAGCCGCTGAGAGGCTGTTTCGGGATGTACGCGCATGCAAGAACAAAACGTGAAATGGAATTTAACATTCGACTTATTTTAGCGTTTAAATGGTAAAAATAAATAAATAAATAAATCAAATTAATTAATCTGCTTTCTGTTTTCAGTTCTCGAAAAAGTGTTCTTCTATGACAACAGAGAGTTTCTGGCGTCGAAAAGAAGCAAATTGATCAAGAGTTTCGAAACGAGTAAGAAGAAGAACAAATGAAAATACATCATTAAAAATAAATAAAATTAAATTAATTCAAATTGAATTTAAATTTTCGAGTTTGTATTTCAAAGAAGAAACGGAGTGTCACTCTTGTTGCATTTCTCGTGGATCTTGCATGAAAACTGTTCGTTTTTTGATTTTTGAATCATTCAATAGTTTTTGAATTCTTTTTTGTCTTCAGATGCAAAAAAGATCGCAGCTTTAGCCGGAAAGCCTGCAGTTTCCATCTCGGAAGCTGCTGCTGCTTACGAGGAAATTCAAAGATCTGTTGGCAGCCAAACGGGCAAAAAGGGAGCAGCAGCAGCAAAAAAGAACCTTTTCCCAACAGCAGCAACTCTGCTGCTCAAGAGTGAGTCTTCTGCGCACTTTACATTCGTTTTAAATCTTCCTTTAAGTGCAAAACAATTATTTATATAGACAAAAAAGACTTCGAAATGCACTTTTGCATTTCTGTGCGTCAAAAAGGAGTGCAAGAAACGCAGTTGAAGTTGCATCATGGCACTGGATCCCGTTTTGCATCATTTTGAGCTCTTTTTGCATGCGATTTGCATGCGTTTTGCATGCGTTTTGCATGCGATCTGCATGCGTTTTGTTGGGTTTAAAAGGCGTTTATGGGTTTGTTGTTCAGGCACTCTGGCCTGCGACATGACGAGTTCTTTTGCTGCGAAGTTGGAGAGCTTCACGCAGTTCATGTTTAAGGCAAAAGCTGCTTCTGGGCGGCGGCAGGCGCCGCTGCAGCGGACTTTAATGGCTTTTATCCGGACTGGAAAAGGCTCTGCTTTGCAAAGCATGTGTTCTTACGACCCCCTGACCTTCAATTACCTCTTCCTCTACAGATTCGTTCTCCTCGGAAGCGGTCAGCTGCTGCTGCTGCTGCTGCTGCTGCTGCTGGCTCAGTTGCATCAGTTGCAGTTGGAAGGAAGGAGGGGCGCGGAGGGCAGTTTTGTGTAGCGTTTACTTGTGTTTGAGTGGAAGAATTGTTTGTTTTTGAGTCGTATTTGGATTTTGAATAGCTTTTGGATTTTGAATGTTCGGAAGTGCAGATCCCGCGAAGACGCACGACAAGCAGCACGCGGCGGTGAGCAAGACGCCGCTGACCACCCGCCTGCTGGGTTCGACGTGGACTCCTTCGATTCTGAAGAGAGTTTTGCGGGGCGTCAAGAGAAAGTCTTCGATTTTGAAAGCGAAACAACGTGAGTTTCGCGTTAAAACTGCCGCTGCTGCTGCCGCCGCTGCTGCTGCTGCTGCTGCTGCTGCTGCTGGGGCAGCCGCGGGAGGGCGTCCGCCGAATTCTGGGGAAGAGCGCTTCAGTGTGCAACGTAGTTTCACTTCGGAGGAAACGAGGGGCGTTTGGGCGGGCGAGGGGCAGCGAAAGAGCGGAGCGCGGGTGTGTGCTGGTGCGTGCGGCGTCAGTGCTGCTGGAGAGCCTGGACGCGGGGGTGTTCCCGCTGCTGCTGACCTCGTTCGAGTGGATCGTGCACACGCAGGCGGCGCTGCAGGTGAACCAAAACAGCGAAATGTTCCACGAGCTGGAGGCGCAGCAGCCGCGCGCGCTTCCCGCGGAGCCGCAGAAGGCGGCGGAGGCGAAGCTGCACGAGGGCGGGCTGGTGAAGCGCACGGACGAGCAGCTGGCGGAGTGGGCGGAGTTCGGAGTTCCCGCGGCGCTGCGGGAGCAGCTGCGGCGCGGGGAGAAGCTGCCCAAGGCGGTGGCCTTGGAGCGGATCCCGACTCCGGACCTGACGCAGTGGGAGCAGCAGCTGAACAGGAAGTGGCTGGCGGCGCTGGAGGCGTACCTGCGGCACCCCTACGGCGCAGCAGCAGCAGCGGCGCGCGACCCCGTGGCGCTGCTGGTGCAGCGCAGCCGGGACCGCCTCGAGGCCGAGCTGGACTCCACCATTTTCCTGGGCAGGATCGTGGGGGCCCCCCGGGGCCCCCGGCGGGGCCGCAGGGCCCTGCGGGCGGTGGGGGGCCTCTTCCGCGCGCTGCTGCGGGCGCCGCGGCAGAGCGAGTTCGCCGTGTGGATGGGCGTGAAGGTGCATGCGGACCGCGTGCTGCGGGTGCTGCATGCAGTGCATGCAGCAGCAGAAGTGGCGAAGACTGCGGGGCTCTTCGAGCACGTCCGCGAGGCCTTCCTCGAGCTGGTCCGCGACGCAGTCCTCGGCAGTCTGCAGAACCAGCTGCGCGTCCCGGGCTTCGACACCTTCGCCGCCGTGGAGGCGGGGCTGCGCGGCGGCGAGGTCTCCGCTGCCGCTGCTGCTGCTGCTGCTGCTGCTGCTGCTGCGCGGCGCAGCGCGGGCTTCCTCTCCGTGCACCCCGAGCTCGCCGCGCTGGGGCCCGCAGCCCGCGAGGCCGAGTTCCAAAACAGCATGTGCATGGACCACTGCGAGGCGCTGTGGACTCTGGTGACTTCCCTGGTCTTCAGCGCGCTGCAAAACCCGCGGAAGTGGAGGGACTACGAAAAGGAAGTGGGCGGCGCTGCTGCTGCTGCTGCGCTGGCGGACCCGCGGCGCGTGAACAGCTTCCGGCTGGGCCTGAGTGTGCAGACGGACTTTTTCGAAAACGTCCTCGACAAAAAGTCGAAACGCAACATTCAGAAAATGAAGTTCGGCGGCGGCTCCTGGTTCGCCTACGCGCTGCTGCTGGCCGCGCGGCTGCACCGCGGCCTGGGCCATTCGGACTTGGCCACGTTTTTCAGTTTCCAGGCGCCCTACCTGGGGCACTTCGTGCTGCAGTGGCAGCAGCAGCGCCGCGAGGCCCGCAGGAAGGCCCTTCTCTCCATGTTGTCTCTCGGCTTCTTCTTCGCCTACACCTTCATTTCCGTCTCCGACATCACGCAGCACCTGAACGACTCGGGGCTGGGCCCGGCGGTGGAGTGTCTGGAGAACTTGGTGGTGGGGCCCGTGTGTCCCGCTGCTGTGGTGGCGCCTGCGGTGCGCAGCGCAGCAGCAGCAGCAGCAGCAGACGTGTTCAAGGTGGGCCTCTTCGGGCTGCTGACGCCCTACCTCGTCTGGCCCATGGCTGCTGCTGCTGCGTGGCAGCTGCTGCGCAGCGAGTTCAAAGTGCTGCTGCAGTTCGAGATGAGCTTGAAGAGTCTCTTTTCCCGCTTCTCAAGCTGGGTGCGCCGCCCCTTCGCGCGCTGGTGGCAGCAGCGCCGCCGCCTCAAGCAGCTGCTGCTGCAGTCCGCTGCTGCCAAGTTCCGCACCGAAAAAAAAAGGTTGCACGGCCGCGACCCCCCGCCCCGCGACTTCGTCTCCAGGCCCCCCTCCGACAACTCCGACTTGGACGCTCTCGGCATTCCTCAGCAGCTCCCCGAGCTCTCCTTCGACCTCTCCTGGGGCGGC